GGTACCTAGGATGACCTTGATTCCAGGGGGATTGATGTTTTCCATCCCTCCGTTTTTCGTTGTTCTCGGCGCCCAGGGGCTGTGCGCGGTCACGGGGACCAACATCTTGCGAAGGCCTTACGGCCGGTGCCGCCGACCCTGAATAGCGACGACGACGACGACGACGACGACGACGACGACGAGCGCTCTTGGGGGCCTCTTGGGGGTAGTTTGTGGGCCTCTTGGGAAGCTCTTAGGGGCCGCTTGGAAGCCTCGTGGGGGCCTCTTGGGGCTTCCTGGGGGTCTGTTGGAGGGGGCCTGGGACGTCTTGGAGGCTTCTTGGACGGTCTTGGGGCTATCTTGGGCGTTTTCGGCAGATCTTTGGCCGATTCGGGGCCCTCTTGGGCCGTCTCGGGGGCCATCTGGGGCATTCGGACCTCATTTGGAGTGTTTTCGAGGCTTCTAGGCCGCCCGAGGAAAAACGAATCTGCCCCCCCACCCCCCCCGGGAACCGCGTGGGTCACTGTGCAACCAGAAGCGCACTTTACAACCAGATGGGTCACTTTACAACCAGCTTACAAAATCCGAGAAGGGCACTTTACAACCAGGTAGGGCACTTTACAACCGGGCAAGTGGAAACACATATTGAATGCACGCGGGCCTTTCCCTGAAATCTCAGTGGGCAAGCGCAAGGGCGGCGTTGGGCTCTTTGAGGCATGTTGGTTGTAAAGTAGCCCATCGCGCACGAAGAAGCACTGCGCACGCGTTGGTGATGCGACGACCTGGTGCGCTATGGTATGTTGCGTGCTGGTGGGCGGATTATGGTTTTGACCTGCGCTCTAAGCTCTGTTGGTCAGTTCTGCCATTGCTTGCTCTGCCTTTTTCTGACGGACGAAGGCTACTCGCGCAGGACATACGAATGAACCATGATCCCGTCAAAGACTGGAGCTGCATGGCAGTGGGAAGCTGTAGTGGGAGATGTGGTGGTAGCGGGGGCTACAATGGGAAACGCATGGTGTTGGGAAGCTGCGGTGGCAACTGTGGCGGTCGCCAGGCAGCGGTGTGAACTGTGGTGGTAGCTGGGCTGCAATGGGATTTGCGGTGGTAGCGGGGGGTCAATCAGAATTGTGGAGGTACCGGGGCTGCAGCGGTAAGTGTGGTGGTAGCAGGGTTGCAGTGAAACATGCAGCCGAAGGGGTTCAATACAAGGCCGTTGGTGAAGACCCCGACCACTGTCTTGAACGTGGCGGTGACCGCGAAGGTGGACACGCCCCAGTTGGTAGACATGGAAGTAAGGCACTTCAAAGGAGAACGCGCCCAGCGGGAATGGAAACCGACCTTGCCGAAACCGCAGCCGTCGAGCCCCAGCCCAGAACGCGGAAAGTGCGGAGCCTCGCGTGAGACCAAAGGAAAGTGGCAGGCGCGACAGGAGGTGGCGAAGCGCCGCCGCTCAGCTGGAGGGCCAGCGCCTTCGGGAGAGAGGGGGGGAGGGAGAGAGGGAAGGAGGACGAGAGAGGGAGGAGGAGGAGGACGGACAGGAGGGGGGGGCGGAGAGGAAGAGGAATGGAAGAAGGAGGAGGAGGAAAACGCGGCGAAGGAGAAGGAGGGGGGCGAGGCCCTCCTCATGCCCCTCCTGTTTTTCCACTTCCTCCTGGTCCTGTTCCTGCTCCTTCCCCTCCTCGTCCTCCTCCTCCTTCTCCTCCTCCTCCTCGTCCTCCTCCCCCTCCTCCTTCTCCTCCTCCCCCCCCCCCCCTCTTCCTCCTCATCCCGCTCCTCCCCCTCCTCATCCTGATCATGTTATCCCTTGGCTTCCCCTGCGTTCTTCCTCAGCCTCCTCCGCCTCCTCCTTCCCCTCCTCCTCGTCATCCTTCTCTTCCGTAGCTGGGATAGGAAGGAGGCCGTCTTCCTTCCCCATTTTCCTTCTCCTCCTCCTCCTTCTCATCCTCGTCATCCTCCTCCTCGTCATCCTCTTCCTCTTCCGCATCCTCCTCCTCCGCATCATCCTCCTCCTTTTTCCTCAACCTCAACCCCCTCGTCCCGCTCCTCCCCCTCCTCATCCTGATCACGTTATCCCTTGGTATCCCTTGTGTTCTTCCTCGGCCCCCTCCGCTCCCTCCTCCTCGTCATCCTCCTCTTCCTCCTCCTGCTGCCACTCCTCCTGCGCGCCCTCCTGCTCGTCTTCCTCCTGCTCCTGCTCGCCGTCGTCGTCGCCGTCCTCCTCCTACTCTTCTTCGACCTCCTCCTCCTCCATCCTCTTAGGCTTCCCCATCATTGCCGGCCGCGCGCCGCAGGGGGGGGGGTTGGCGCTGCCAGATTACACCGCCGACGCGTGCAGACAGCGCAGGGTGACGAGCCATTCGATCCTCCATCACCATCATCACCATCACCATCACAATCATCATCAACATCATCATCAGCATCGTCATCACCAGCAGCATCACCACCATCATCAGCATCATCATCATCATTCTCATCAACACCGTCGTCACCATCGTCATCATCAGCACCATCACCAGCATCATCACCAGCGTCATCAGCAGCATCAGTAGCTTCAATGATCATCATCATCATCATCATCACCATTGTTATCATCATCATCGTCATCATCATCATCAACAACATCATCATCATCATCATCATCATCATCGTCGTTTTCCTCTTCCTCCGCGTCCACCTCCGCCTCGCCCCCTCGTCTTCCTCGTCATCCTCCTCCGCTCCGTCCTCATCCTGATTATCATCCTCCTCCGCGTCCTTCTCCTCCTCGTCATCCTTCTCCTCCACATCATCCTGCTCCTGCTCATGCTCCTGCTCACGTTGTAGCTGGGATAGGAAGGAGGCCGTCTTCCTCCCACTCCTCCTCCTCCTCCTTCTCATTCTCGTCCTCCTCCTCCTCCTCCTCCTCCTCCTCCTCCTCCGCATGCCCCTCCGCCGCATCATTCCCTTCCGTATCCTCATCCTCATCCTGCTCATCCCGCCCCCCCCCCCCCCTCCTCATCATCCTGATCATGTTATCCCTTGGCTTCCCCTGTGTTCTTCCTCTGCCTCCTCCGCCTCCTCCTCCTCTTCGTCATTCTGTTCCCCCGTAGCTCGGATAGGAAGGAGGCCGTCTTCCTCCCCCTATTCCTCTTCCTTTCCTCCTCCTTCTCATCCTCGTCATCTTCCTCCTCGTCCTCCTCCTCCTCCTCCTCCGCATCCTGCCCCTCCTCATCCTCGTCATCATCCTCCTCGCCCCGCTCCTCCCCCTCCTCATCCTGATCACGTTATCCCTTGGTTTCCCCTGCGTTCTTCCTCGGCCTCCTCCGCCTCATCCCCCTCCTCGTCATCCTCCTCTTTCCTCCTCCTGCTGCCTCCTCCTCCCCTTATCCTATCATCATATTCCTCTTTCTGCTCCCGCTCCTGATCCGCCCCCTGTGAGTGATCTCTAAAATGGGCAGCGCGTCGCCCTGAGCCTTCCTACGTGTGCTGTCGCCGTATTCCCGTGCGAGCACTGGGCCCTTGTTGAGGCCACTTGGCCCCTGCTAGCAAACCCTGTCTTAGTCTGCTGGGCTCAGAGCGCCAGAGCGTCCAGGCGCTCGGGCTCAGAGGCATCGCTGGGGCTTGCTCAGAGCGTCCAGGCGCTCGGGCTCAGAGGCATCGTTGGGGCCTGCGCAGATCGTCCAGGTCCTCGGGCTCAGAGGCATCGCTGGCGCCTGCGCAGGGCGCTCAGGCGCTCGGGCTCAGAGGCGTCGCTGAGGCCTGCGCAGAGCGTTCAGGCGCTCTGGCTCCAGAGCGCCGGCGTGCTCTGGAGCACTTTTCAGAGCGTCCGCGCGCCCTGGAGCACTCTTGAGAGCGCCCAGTTGCCCTGAAGCATTTTTCAGAGCGGAGCACTTTGCGGAACGCCCAAACACGCACGGCCACTCTGAGCTGGTTGTAAAGTGGTCCGTTCTGGTTGTAAAGTGGTCCGTTCTGGTTGTAAAGTGGGCCGTTCTGGTTGCAAAGTGGACGTTCTCGATGAAAAACTATACTTTCCAATCCTATGTTGGTTGTAAAGTAACCCATCTGGTCGTAAAGTGGTTGTTCTGGTTGTAAAGAGACCGAATCTCGTTGGACCCCCCTCGGGACCCCCCCCTGGGACCCCCCCCGGGACCCCTCCCGGGACCCCCCCCTCCACCCCCCCCGGCCCCCCCCCCCCTGGGGAAGGGATCAAAGGGAAGGGTTCTTCCCTTCGACTCGATTGCGACACTGCTCGATTTTTCTCTCGCTCACGAGCTTGAGAAGGGAGCTGCAGGGAAAGGGGGCGACGGAAGCGACGACCGACGGAGACGACGACTCGAACAGCCAAGCCCCTCGCACACGCCGACAGGGTCGGCGGATTTTGACCTGGGAAGAACAAGTGGGCTTTGACTTCGGAGAAGTTGCCCTGACTCTTGCGGGAG